GTCTCTCTGTCTTCATCTTCGTCTCTCTGGCTACACCTTCGTCTCTCTGACTTCACCTTCGTCTCTCTGTCTTCATCTTCGTCTCTCTGGCTTCACCTTCGTCTCTCTGACTTCACCTTCGTCTCTCTGACTTCACCTTCGTCTCTCTGACTTCACCTTCGTCTCTCTGACTTCACCTTCGTCTCTCTGACTTCACCTTCGTCTCTCTGACTTCACCTTCGTCTCTCTGACTTCACCTTCGTCTCTCTGACTTCATCTTCGTCTCTCTGGCTTCACCTTCGTCTCTCTGTCTTCATCTTCGTCTCTCTGTCTTCATCTTCGTCTCTCTGGCTTCACCTTCGTCTCTCTGACTTCACCTTCGTCTCTCTGTCTTCATCTTTGTCTCTCTGGCTTCACCTTCGTCTCTCTGACTTCACCTTCGTCTCTCTGGCTTCACCTTCGTCTCTCTGGCTTCACCTTCGTCTCTCTGGCTTCACCTTCGTCTCTCTGGCTTCACCTTCGTCTCTCTGACTTCACCTTCGTCTCTCTGACTTCACCTTCGTCTCTCTGACTTCACCTTCGTCTCTCTGGCTTCACCTTCGTCTCTCTGGCTTCACCTTCGTCTCTCTGGCTTCACCTTCGTCTCTCTGGCTTCACCTTCGTCTCTCTGGCTTCACCTTCGTCTCTCTGGCTTCACCTTCGTCTCTCTGGCTTCACCTTCGTCTCTCTGGCTTCACCTTCGTCTCTCTGGCTTCACCTTCGTCTCTCTGTCTTCACCTTCGTCTCTCTGACTTCACCTTCGTCTCTCTGTCTTCATCTTCGTCTCTCTGTCTTCATCTTCGTCTCTCTGGCTTCACCTTCGTCTCTCTGGCTTCACCTTCGTCTCTCTGCCTTCATCTTCGTCTCTCTGGCTTCACCTTCGTCTCTCTGACTTCACCTTCGTCTCTCTGTCTTCATCTTCGTCTCTCTGGCTTCACCTTCGTCTCTCTGACTTCACCTTCGTCTCTCTGTCTTCATCTTCGTCTCTCTGGCTTCACCTTCGTCTCTCTGACTTCACCTTCGTCTCTCTGTCTTCATCTTCGTCTCTCTGGCTTCACCTTCGTCTCTCTGACTTCACCTTCGTCTCTCTGACTTCACCTTCGTCTCTCTGACTTCACCTTCGTCTCTCTGACTTCACCTTCGTCTCTCTGACTTCACCTTCGTCTCTCTGACTTCATCTTCGTCTCTCTGGCTTCACCTTCGTCTCTCTGTCTTCATCTTCCTCTCTGTCTTCATCTTCGTCTCTCTGTCTTCATCTTCGTCTCTCTGGCTTCACCTTCGTCTCTCTGGCTTCACCTTCGTCTCTCTGGCTTCATCTTTGTCTCTCTGGCTTCACCTTCGTCTCTCTGACTTCACCTTCGTCTCTCTGGCTTCACCTTCGTCTCTCTGGCTTCACCTTCGTCTCTCTGGCTTCACCTTCGTCTCTCTGGCTTCACCTTCGTCTCTCTGGCTTCACCTTCGTCTCTCTGGCTTCACCTTCGTCTCTCTGACTTCACCTTCGTCTCTCTGACTTCACCTTCGTCTCTCTGACTTCACCTTCGTCTCTCTGACTTCACCTTCGTCTCTCTGGCTTCACCTTCGTCTCTCTGGCTTCACCTTCGTCTCTCTGGCTTCACCTTCGTCTCTCTGGCTTCACCTTCGTCTCTCTGGCTTCACCTTCGTCTCTCTGGCTTCACCTTCGTCTCTCTGGCTTCACCTTCGTCTCTCTGACTTCACCTTCGTCTCTCTGGCTTCACCTTCGTCTCTCTGGCTTCACCTTCGTCTCTCTGGCTTCACCTTCGTCTCTCTGGCTTCACCTTCGTCTCTCTGGCTTCACCTTCGTCTCTCTGGCTTCACCTTCGTCTCTCTGGCTTCATCTTCGTCTCTCTGGCTTCTCCTTCGTCTCTCTGGCTTCTCCTTCGTCTCTCTGGCTTCACCTTCGTCTCTCTGGCTTCACCTTCGTCTCTCTGACTTCACCTTCGTCTCTCTGACTTCACCTTCGTCTCTCTGACTTCACCTTCGTCTCTCTGACTTCACCTTCGTCTCTCTGACTTCACCTTCGTCTCTCTGGCTTCACCTTCGTCTCTCTGGCTTCACCTTCGTCTCTCTGGCTTCACCTTCGTCTCTCTGGCTTCACCTTCGTCTCTCTGGCTTCACCTTCGTCTCTCTGGCTTCACCTTCGTCTCTCTGGCTTCACCTTCGTCTCTCTGGCTTCACCTCGTCTCTCTGGCTTCACCTCTCTGGCTTCACCTCGTCTCTGGCTTCACCTTCGTCTCTCTGGCTTCACCTTCGTCTCTCTGGCTTCACCTTCGTCTCTCTGGCTTCACCTTCGTCTCTCTGGCTTCACCTTCGTCTCTCTGGCTTCACCTTCGTCTCTCTGGCTTCACCTTCGTCTCTCTGGCTTCACCTTCGTCTCTCTGGCTTCACCTTCGTCTCTCTGGCTTCACCTTCGTCTCTCTGACTTCACCTTCGTCTCTCTGACTTCACCTTCGTCTCTCTGGCT